CAAATTCGCAGGGTTTAGGATGACTACCAAATCAGCAGGGTCTAGATGGCAAAACCTAGGTTGTAGGAGAACTCCAACCCGAATGCTGAGGTTTCTTCCCCATGGGCTTGTGGTTGTGGGCAGTGAGATTTGGTACACTATAAACTGATGGGAGTACATTAACCCCATTACATGCAGATGGAAAGACACGGATAACATGACATCAACAGATGACATTCGGATAAATACTACAACAACCCTCCCTCACAGCATGAATCACTTCTTGGCAAGGGCGGCCCTCACAACAGCCTGTGCAGAAGCCAGCCGGGCGATGGGCACACTGCAAGGAGTGAAGCCAACAACCCAAGGCACAGAATACGAGTCAGTTCACATTGTTGCGACGGGGGAAATGGAGAAGAATGAAGGGGGAGGGGCGGAGGCTTACCGGAAGGGCGAGCACGAGACGTAGTTGAGGCCGCACTTGGCGAAGAACTCCACGGAGGAGGCTTCTCCACCCTGCTCGCCGCACACGCCCACGAGCAGGTCGGGGCGCGCGGAGCGGCCGCGCTCCACCGCCATCTTGATGAGCTGGCCGACGCCGGCCTGGTCGAGCACCTCGAAGGGGTCGTTCTGGAGAATGCCGAGCTCCAGGTACTTGGGCAGGAACTTGGACACGTCGTCGCGCGAGTACCCGAACGTCATCTGCGTCAGATCGTTGGTGCCGAACGAGAAGAACTCGGCGCGCTCAGCGATCTGGTCGGCGATGAGGGCCGCGCGGGGCACCTCGATCATGGTGCCCACCTTGAAGGGCACCGTCACGCCCGTCTTGGCCGCCACCTCAGCAATCACGCGGCGGATAATCTCCTCTTGGTGCTCGAACTCCTGTGGGAAGGAAAGCCAGACACGATGCGAAGGATTAGCTACAGTTCTCGTATGGGTGTTGGTTCGTACCACGAACTGGATAACTAAGTGGGTTGGTTTAATTCCCAGTCTCGGTAGCTATGTTTGTATCACTTGCCTGCGTGGTTCCGACGAGCGGCACCATGATCTCGGGGTGCACCACCTTGCCCTCCTTCTGCACGGCGCTCGCCGCCTCGAAGATGGCGCGCACCTGCATCTCCGACAGGTCCTCATACCCGATGCCCAGCCTGCGCAAGCACGAGACAAGGAGAAGCGGAGGAAATAGCGGATTGACACCCGAAATATCGGAGAAACAAGGAAGGCGGGGAAGGAAGCAAAAAGAAGTAGGCGGCAGCATGTGGAGGCTGAGAGGAAAGCGCACCTGCAGCCGCGGAAGCCGAGCATGGGGTTGACCTCCTGCAGCTCCTCGATGCGGTTGAGGATGTCCTCCTTCTTCACGCCCACGTCGCGCACCAGCTCGTCCACCACGTGGTCCGCGTGCACGTGGTCCGCGCCGTGGATGTTGGGCAGGAACTCGTGCAGAGGCGGGTCCAGGAGGCGGATGGTCACGGGCAGCCCGTCCATGGAGCGGAAGATGCCCTCGAAGTCCGACCGCTGGTACGGCAGCAGCGCGTCGATGGCGGCGTGGCGCTGTGCGGGGTTCGTGGCGAGAATCATCTCGCGCACCTTCATGATGCGCTCCTCCGATGCGAAGAACTGCGCGCAGGGGGGGAGGGAAAGGGGAACCAGGAAAGGAGCAAGGTCAGGAATCACAGAACTCGGGGAACAAGTTCTGCCAGGATTGAGACGGAACATTTCCTACCAGTCAGCAAAAGAATGTAGATCCGAACGGATGAAGGTAGCGACTCACCATGTGCTCCGTGCGGCAGAGACCAATGCCCTGAGCGCCCTTTTCCCTGGCGGCGGTGGCGTCCTCGGGGGTATCGGCATTAGCCATGACGCGCAGCTCCCTGGTGTCGTCCACCCACTTCATGAACGCGCCCAGGTCGCCGGAGATGGACGGCGGCGACAGCTTCTGCTGCCCGGAGATGACCTCGCCGGTGGTCCCGTTGAGCGAGATCCACTCGCCCTCCGCGAGCTTCTTGCCGCCCAGCTCCATGGTGCGGTGCACCTCGTCGATGTGCAGGTCCGAGCACCCCGCGATACAGCACTTGCCCCACCCACGGGCCACCACGGCGGCGTGGGAGGTCATGCCGCCGCGCGCCGTGAGGATACCGGAAGCGGCGTGCATGCCGCCGACGTCCTCGGGGGAGGTCTCCATGCGCACCAGGATGGTGGCCTTGCCCTGCGCCTTCCACGCCTCCGCGTCCTCGGGGTGGAACACCACCTGGCCGACGGCAGCGCCGGGGGAGGCGGGCAGGCCGGTGCCGAGCACGTCAATCTTGTACGCCTTGGGGTCGGCGAACTGGGGGTGCAGCAGCTGGTCCAGGTGACGGGGCTCCACCATCAGGATCGCTTGCTGGGGCGTCACGAGGCCCTCAGCAACCATGTCGACGGCGATCTTGACGGCGGCCAGGCCGGTACGCTTGCCCGTGCGGCACTGGAGCATCCAGAGCGCGCCCTCCTGCACGGTGAACTCGATGTCCTGCATCTCCTTGAATTCCTTCTCAAGGATCTCGCAGTTCTTGCACAGCTCCTCGTACGCCTTGGGCAGCACCTTCTTCATCGTGTCGATGTCCTCGGGAGTACGGATACCCGCCACGACGTCCTCGCCCTGCGCGTTGATGAGGTACTCGCCGTACAGCTTGCGCTCGCCGTTGGACGGGCTGCGCGTGAAGAGCACGCCAGTGCCGGAGTTGTCGCCCATGTTGCCGAAGACCATGGCCTGCACGTTGACGGCCGTGCCCTTGAGACCCGAGATCTTGTTGATGGTGCGGTACTTGATGGCGCGTGTGCTGTTCCACGAGTTGAACACCGCCATCACCGAGTGCTTCAGCTGCTCCTTGGGGTCTGCGGGCGAGAAAAGAGAGAAGGGGACAATGCGGGGTAAATGCACTAGTACAAGGCCAGAACCTCGTGAAATGCAGACGGAACGAGGATTTTCAGAATCAGATAACGTTTTTCCGTTTTTATCCCTGAAATTCGGCACGGCATGATTCGGAAAAGGTGGCGAATGCTCACCGGAGGGGAATTCCTGTCCAGTGGCCTTGAGGTAGACGGCCTTGTACTTCTCCACGAGCGTCTTGAGGTCCTCGTTGTCGAGCTCCGTGTCGACCTTGACGCCCTTGGCCTTCTTGAGCGCCGACAGCTCCGCCTCGAACAGCGAGTGCGACACGTTCATCACCACGTCGCCGAACATGTCGATGAAGCGACGGTACGAGTCGTACGCGAATCGCTCGTTACTCTTCTTCGCCAGGCCAACGACGACAGTGTCGTTGAGACCCAGGTTGAGCACAGTGTCCATCATACCGGGCATGGAGACCTGAGAGAAGAGGACGGAAAAACGCCTCTCAGAGTTAGTACCATTTGTCCGAGAAGAGTGAGAATATGAACACGACGAGCAGGAAGCTGAGTTGACGTGACATAAGAATGCTCGAAACAATGCTTTGGATCCCTGTACAATGCTCGAAACAAAAGAACTGCAGAATCAAATCACTCATCATAAGAATCCAATTTTCATAATCTCCCGTCAGTACTTACAGCGGCACCAGAGCGGACAGAGACGAGAAGAGGATTCTCGGGGTTGCCGAACTCGAAGCCGGTGTTCTTCTCGACGGTCTTCATGCCGTCGAGAATCTCCTGCCACAGCTCATCGGTGAGCTTCCCTCCGCTCTTGTGGAAGTCCTCGCAGGCCTCGGTGGTGACGGTCAGGCCGGGAGGCACGGAGAGGCCGATGCGAGACATTTCGGCGAGGTTAGCACCCTTGCCACCGAGCTGCACGTGGAAAAAGCACATGTCAGTGTTTGTCGTCGGAAGTAGGTGAGACCGGAAATAGAGCACGCGGTAAATTCGTCTTACCAGTTGCTTCAACGACTTGTCTCCAGCGCTGTAGCCCTTGCCGAAGACCCATACCCTCTGCAGAGTGAGCACGAGCGCGGGTAAGCAATATGCTATACACAGGAGAAATAGTCATCGCATCCATCGCGTTACTCACGGGTTGAGCGGTGGCCATAATGGAACGACTTGAAAAGGGATGCTGAACGTAAGAAATGTGCGTAGAAGATTGCTGAAAGGTCGTCTAAGTAGACAACCTTGAGTCACAGGTATCGTAATTGAAGAATGAAAGGAATTCTGGGAGTGAAGAATGTCAGAAGTATGCAGGATTTTATGCACGCAAGACCAAGAAGTGGATGGGGCGTCGCGCGGGATTCGTGTAAAAAGATCTCCAACGCATTTTGCATCGTCAGCGTTGTCACGTGCTGATCTGTTAATTCATAAGCCCGTCTGATGGTGCTGCCACATCAGCATGGCTGACTTGGACTGGGACATGGAGGAGTCCACATCTTCCCGCCGTTGCCCCCTCGGTACTTGGCCCTAGATTGCGCTGGCACAGGTGGCGCCGGGTTCACGCCTCATTGGTAGGTACCCTTGCCCAGGCCCAAGGAGCTGTCTCCGCAGCACGTGAACTGATTGAGCCTGATTCGTGGGACTCGCACCGCAGCGGAATTCTGGCTCGGGCATCACACATCAACGAAACGAACCCGCGCGTGGAGTCGAGTGACTCCCTTTCAGTCGGGTCAGGAGATAAAAGGCTTCGCAGCAGGCGTGGGTGTCACTTTCTGTCGGCAACAGGCCATTCCCTCGGTTCTAGGCAACTAGAAACGGGTAGCCAGCAAGCCAAAGTCGTCGGCCGTGACTCAGACTAGTTCACTCAAGGGCACTTAGTGGAGCACTCCCGAAGTGGCTAACACCGCGTGCTGCGTTTGGTCAAGTGGCGGTACAGGTATCTCAAAACCTCAGCTAAGGTGTTAAATAGCGCCTTCAGGTACCCTATTTTCGTCAAGTGCGCCTGGAGTTTAGCTTTCTAGGGTTCCCCTGGAACAGATTTCGGCAGATGGGTGTTACTAACACCTTGTTTGTTATGAATGAACAAGCAGAGTAGCGCGGAAATGAATAACGAAGTGTTCACTCAATGAATGACGATACCAGGAATGGCAAGCCAAGATATAGGAACACCAGAGCTAGTCTAACCATGCGATGGTAAGGTTCGGGAAGGAGATCGAAGGGTCTCGAAGTGACGCAGCGAGGCCTGGAGAACTCCCGAAGGTCGAACTAGCAGGTCTGGAGAAGCCGAGGCGATTCTGTCAGGGGGTCTGGAACAGTCCCGAGGCTTCGGGTGTGTTCGAGCGTACGCGATAGCAGTACCGCTCGGTAAGGAATGGCAAATTCCTTACACCACCCCCCCCCCCCTTAGCGAAGGTGATCTATATCAGCCACGTGCTTGCGGTCCAAATAATTCGCAAGTATCGAAGGTGACTGTATCTGGTCCGAGGGCACCCACGTATCGTCCTCACTGGTACGATTGGTCCATCGTATCAGAAAGTCAACGCGTCGTCCTTGACCGTCGATACGAATCCAATGGCTCAAGATCTTCGAAGGCTCGATGGTCGTCTCAGCTAGTGGCCGTACATCTGGGACCAATCGCTGGCGAGCGATGTCCGAGGTGTCAGGAACAAAGGGTCGCAACAGATTTACGTGGAATTTGTTGTGAATTCGCCAGTCATCAGGCAGGCGTAACTGGGCGGTCACCGGCGTCACCATCTTCACGATCTTGAATGGGCCACAGAAACGTGGTCGTAATTTCGTCGGCGGTGGCAGTCGTAAATTCTTGGTGTCCAAAAGGACTAATTGCCCTGTTGCCATTGTAATATCCCGTCGATGTAAATCCGCATACCGTCGGGCAGTAGCGTTCGCCTTGCGAATAAGTTCGACACCTTTGTTTCGGGCAGTCTGTAATTCCTCGACGAACTGCTGCGATCGTGGTACTTGACTCTCAACGTTGGTGGAGATCGGCACTGTAGGGTCCATCCCGTAATTGAGATAAAATGGGGAGTGATTAGTCGTAGTCGAGGGCGCGTTGTTGTAGGAAAATTCCAACATGGGCAGCACGTCCTCCCATTTGTTCCGGTCGGGGCAGTTTGTCCGAATCAGCTGCTCCATCGTTTGATTGGTCCTTTCCGTCTGGCCGTCCGTTTGAGGATGATAAGCGGATGAGAATTGTAGACGCGTGCCGTATCGAGCCCACGTGTCCTGCCAGAATTTTGACGCGAACTTCGGATCTCTATCGCTAATGATTGCTGCTGGTATCCCGTCTAGGCGAACGACGGTCGAGATGAACAGGCGCGCTGTTTCTTCGGCTGTGATGGTTGTACGACATGGTGCGAAATGCGCCATTGCGTCATTTTCGTCAATCGGTCGACGACAACCAAAACTGCGTCATTTCCACTAGGTCCGGCCGGTAGTCCCGTAACGAAATCCATCGTTACGTGTTGCCATGGGCGTTGAGGTGGCTCGAGGGGCTGCAACAGTCCTGTAGGTCGCTGGTGTGATGACTTCATTCGCTGGCAGATCAGACACGCGGCCACGTAACGCTGCACGTCCGTCACCATATCTGGCCAGTAATAAAACCGTTGCAACGCCTTCAAAGTTTTGTCGACCCCGAAATGTCCCGATAAATTCGAATCGTGGAATTTTTGAATTAGTAATTCACGAATAAGACGATAACCTGGGACCCAAATTCGATATGTCCAGCTTCGTAAGTAATAGACGCCTTTCCGTGTAGTAATTGGGCGATGGCCGTCGTTTACGAAGAGGGGGTCAGTCGAATACCCGTGGGTAAATAGTCCACTCAGTAGCGGGTTGCTCTGGGCAACTAGTACTGCTGCGAGTTGGGCAGATGGTCTAGAGAGGGCGTCGGCAATATTGTTGGCGCCTTTTTTGTACGTGATCTTGTACGTGAAGTTGGACTCCAGATAGTCCAGTCAGCGTATCTGCCGCGGGTTGAGATTCGGCTGCGCCCACAGGTACTGTAGTGATTTGTGGTCGGTTCGCACCGTCACGTCTGCTCCAGTCAGGTAGCACCTCCAGATTTTGAACGCGTGGACGATCGCCAACATATCCTTGTCGTGTACTGGGTAGTTGCGCTCAGCAGACTGCATTTTCCGAGACTCGTATGCAATTGATTGAAGCCCATTGCCGAAATCCTGCATAAACGCCGGTGCGGCTACAGTAGTGGCTGCTTCTGACCGAGCGGCTGCTGCTGCTGCTGCTTCGGCTGCTGCTCGTGCTGCCACGTCAGCTGCTGCGGCGGCTTCACTGTCCTTGCGCTCCTGTGACACCTGACGTGCGATTTCGTCCAAAACGGTTTCGACACGTCCGGTGCTGGCGACCTCCTCTTGGGCGGTAGATTTCTGACGCGAATCCTCTCGCGCCTGGCGTAACTCAGCAACTTCCGCACGAAGTCGCTCGTTGTCCTCCAGCACTGTAGCCATGCGTGTGTTCATGGTGTTGAACTGCTCCCGAAGCTCGTTGAACTGAGCTTGGTCCATTTGGCGAATGCTCCGCCGGGGCAGGGGGAAATCCGTAATGTGCCTGTACTCAGGTAAGCGCAAACGCTATCGTAGTTGGGCGAATTAATCAGTCTAATTCGCGAGCAACCACTTTGCAGCTTACGTGAGGGACTTACTCCCCCCAAAAAAAATCAACTCTCGAAAACGGGTGAGCGAGGAAAGTGGCTCTGATTACCAGGTGTTATGAATGAACAAGCAGAGTAGCGCGGAAATGAATAACGAAGTGTTCACTCAATGAATGACGATACCAGGAATGGCAAGCCAAGATATAGGAACACCAGAGCTAGTCTAACCATGCGATGGTAAGGTTCGGGAAGGAGATCGAAGGGTCTCGAAGTGACACAGCGAGGCCTGGAGGACTCCCGAAGGTCGAACTAGCAGGTCTGGAGAAGTCGAGGCGGTTCTGTCAGGAGGTCTGGAACAGTCCCGAGGCTTCGGGTGTGTTCGAGCGTACGCGATAGCAGTACCGCTCGGTAAGGAATGGCAAATTCCTTACAGTGTTAGTCACCAAAACATAATTATTCCCATGTTGCCGCATATCTCATTACAACCCTCTTCATTCAATTTATCTCGTCACGCATCCAACTTCGCCTGTCGTAACAACATCGTTACCAAATGTTATGATTGTAAGGAGTTATATTTCCTGTAAGGGAATGGCCCAGATTTTAGCTAGTAAAGCATACATCACCATAACAGGGTTGCAGTGCAAAGATGCACGTACACTCGGACCGCGTGCACAAAATGTGGCCCTGGCCCAAGCCGCATGCGTCGAGTGCGTTGTACTTGTACAGCCTCGTGCAGGTTCGGACACGTTGCGCCAATTTTGGAGCCTCGACTCGGCTCGAGCTCTCCAGGCCTAGCTCTCTCTAGATACAGGGTTTTCTTCCAGTCGCATTGTTGTATCCTTACCTCGATATTCACACTTTGATTCTCTCTGTTTGCACCACATAACAATTGGGCATTAGAGCCATCGACCCCCATCCTTGAGTTTCTAGCTTGGTAGCGTTATTTGCATGTGAAGCGATCAAAAGATGGCCGTAGGATCGCCATGATTGAACACTTGATGTGGGGAGCTTTTGCGGAAGCGGTCTGGTTGGTTGGTAACCTTCATATTGTGATACAAGTGAATTTGAAGGGTCTACCAATAATGCATTTCACAATGATACATTCCATTGGGTTTTAGATCCGACACAAGCAGCCGCGTACCATACGACTCGGGTAACTGCCCATGCTGTAATACAAAGTAAGTTATGCGCCCTTGCTGTCGTTGGATTGTCGGTTAATGGTTAACGACCGTTGCCCTTCACGCTTCAACTTAGGCGCGTACTCGATAGGATAAAATATTGCACAAACTGGTGTTAGTGCTCGAATGGCACGTTTATTAATGTATCGAACAATTCTGGATCGTAATACTTTCCTTCATTTATGAAGCTACTCGCGCTTGGCGAGCTTGGTAATTCCGCAGAGCTCGGCATTGTACTGGTACTGTTCCCATGGCAGAAACTTAGTGACAAAGTCAACTTCCTTGTCACTACTGGGACAGTAGTTCAAGTCCACCTTGCCCTAGTCGATTTCGTCGTTGATGTATCGTTGGGCGATGTGTTTCGTCCGGTTCACAAATCCGAGCTTGTTGGCGATCTTGATCGCACTTCGATTGTCGTAGTGTAACTTGAAGGTTACAACGTATTAAGTTTGCCTCTTGTAGAAGCTCTTGCATATCGAGTACTTCGCGAACGGCAGAGGGCGCGGCGATGTATTCTGTTTTGGCTGAGAAGAGGGCAACTAGCTCCTGCTTCTGCGAATTCCATGAGATATGGCTAGTTGGTTCTAGGCGAAATAGAAAGATTGTGAGAGACCGACGGTTAGCCGGATCTGCGGCGCGATCGGTATCGACATAGCCAATAAGATGGAATAAAGGCGTAGTAAGTGTGGAGTTGAAATGAAATATACCAGGGCTCGTTGTAGATCGAGTAGGTTCTCCCATTCAGATCGCCGAGCGCATTGGGTGATGTGACTAGCGATGTAGGAGAGTTGGGGCGGCAAGTGATAGCAACGAATAGTAGGCAGACGAGTTTTTGCTGGTAGAGCTGGTGTGCAGCGGGTGCGAGTGTTTTGGTGTCAGGCGTGTAGCTCATAGCACGCTCGCGGCAGGGAGTGAAGAGTGGTGTGGGTGTGAGGTTGAATTTCTTTGCAGCGTACTTGGACGCGGAGAGGTGGATAGCCTCTGCATGTAGGAGATGTTGAGCCCGATGAACTGGGTTACAGATTTTGATGTAGAAATGTTGAAGCGCTCTCCTAGGTTCCTCTCAAAATGGTCGAGCAGGTCCATGTTGGTGCTGGTGTAGAGCAAATCATCGTCGTAAATTGTGAGGAGAATGTAGTCGCCGTGGAATTGTAGGCGGTACATCCCAGGGTCATGTGGTAGCTGGATGAAGCCGATGGCGAGGAGAATGCTGCGGAGATGCTGTTGCCCGAGGCATCGTGTTTGTTTTATCTCATTGAGAGATTTTTGCACCTGGCACACGCGAGATTCCCGGTCACCATATGTGTGGGGTTGCTCGACGAAGATCAGAGCGTTAAATTCCGCGTAGAGGAACACATTATTCACGTCGATTTGTTGGAGCTCGAAATGCTTGCGTAGCGAGGAGGATGCGTACGGAGGTGTGACAGCTGACTGGAGCGAAGATCAGATTGAAGTCGACATCGTAGCGTTGGTAATATCCGCGCACGATCCAGTGTGCTTTGTAGCGCTCGATGTCTCCGTTATCGTCGGTTTTTATGCTATAGAACCACTTGCCGGATAAGATCTTTCTCCCTTGCACGTTGTTGTCTGAGTCAGCGTTCACACGAGGGTCGGCAAGAGTGTCGTAGGTCCAAGGGGGCGTCGTCGTCGTCATCGCTGTCGAAGTGCGGGTTTTCTCCAGGGTGTTCGTCCGGGGGGTCCATGTCTATTAGTGTAGCTGCGGCCTCATCTTCAGCGGAGGCGAAGTTGCGATCTCCGTGGTCATAGGCGAGGGCTTGGTTTATGGAACAGTCTGTATGGATCTGCTGCATGGTGAGTCCTTCGTAGAGCAGTGCGTCATGAGAGGGGACGATGGTCGAGTTTTCAAATTCTAGGATCGTCCATGCTTCGTACCCGTGCGATATCCCAAGATGTACGCCCCAGCGGGCATGCCTATAGAACTTTCAAGTAATAGAATCGTGAGGGCGGTATTGAGATATGGAGCCATGTATAGATTGCTGACGATGAATTCATTTGGACTTCGAAGACGTCTTTATTTAGCGCAACAGTCTGTATATGTTTCGGGTATTGAAAGGCTACAGTATGTGTTCGACTCTAAAAAATTCATGGTTTCTACTGCGTTTCAATTTCATCCAATGCCCATATAATATACACTCACTTCGGCTTACATAGCATAGTATGCATAAACCAATTCATGAATAATGGCAGGTTTTGTATTTGTTGAGTTGTAAAAAGCTTATTCTAAATCTCGTGATTAAAATAACATACCTAGAAATCACAGAATGCGATATCAAATATGTTCGCTTAACATCCCTGAATTAATATGTGAATAAATGGCTCCGCAACCCTTATACGAAATTGTTTTTTTTTATCGACTGCTAATTACTAAGATTACTACTGACATGTTATATTTAAGTTGGTTGTTTGACTACTGTGGGGACCGACTCTAGATTGGTCGCGATTTAAACTAAGAGAAACATAGTTTTCGGTATGGGTCTTTCAGAGGTTTTTTTCAGGGCTTCTGGGACTACTTACAGGGAACAAAGATGATTTTTGGAGCGACCAAGATTCATACGTGGAACACGATTGCAATACTACAAAACATTGACATGGAAAATCCGTCCAATATCGTACAATCTCCATCGAATGCTTGGGTCGAAAATGGGCGGCTCTGTGTTTTGAACACGTCGATTACCATGCTAATGTTGACTATATTAAGCTGACACAAGGTATCTGGAGCGATTTCGTTGACATTCGCTGCTTCGCGAATTTCCGCTATACTAATCGTGGGGTTCGTTTCGTTTGTCGAGCCATCGGGTGAATTTGCACGTGATAGTTGACTATGGCTAAGGATTTCATAACGTTGCTTTATTCCAGGCTCATGTTGCCGGTTTGTCGTTGATGACATGTCTGGTGTCGCAAGGTGCACATGTCTCCCCGTAGTACAGTTATCTCTAATTCGGCTTGGGCTCGTTTAGCGCGCAGACGTGCAAACTCCAGCAATAAAACTTGTTGGTGAGACGCTTCTCATCCAGTGCTGCTGCCCTTGCCTAGGCAGTGCTTAGTGTCAATGACGAAGGGTCCACCTTTTTTTTTTTTTTTTTTTTTTTTTTTTTTTTTTTTCCGTTGGTGCGCTGGTTCTGCGAAATGAATCGTGGCTGCGGATATGTTTGAATATAAATATCATGACATCAGATATGCAGTACGTACATGCCATCAGCCTCCCTAAACAACAGTATCGCAACGGAAATAAACGCTACAATAGATAAAGGATCGCTAGCTCAGTTGGTCAGGTATAATAAATCGCAAACAGTGAGTGTCGAATATTTGTAGTGACTAGGAAAAGATTGCAATGAGGCAACATCAAAACAACCGAGAGCTAGAATATAATTAGGCCTGGATCACACGGCAGAGGCTCGACAAAGCTGAGACGTGTGGTTGTGTGGAACGCGCAGGTTCAGGCATGAATCGGTAAAGCGAATGAAATGCGTGCGGCTTGTTAGAGGGCCACATTTGGGTGACGTGATTTGAATTAGATGGCAGAGCTGCGCGGCAACCCGTTATGGGAGTATACGCTTTACTAGCTAGAACCCCGGGTAAGAAGATCCTATTTGCTTAGGGCGGGTCCACGTTGGAGTCTGATTGCGGTGCAGTTGCGTTTCACAGCATTCGCATAGAGGGTAGGGAAATAGCGGAAACAAACGTATTGGACACGCCCTTACAATCTGAACATCCACATAGGGGACCTTGATCCCATCATGTTTGGTGGCCCACCACCGTGGCACTCCAAATCTCTCCCTGCCCCCTTTGTGTCACGATGGTGTCAAGGCGTGCCTATGTGCCCGCTCATTATTCGCTGCAGAGTTCCGCCACGATGCTGACCAGCAGCATCTTCATTCCAGGCCAGACCGTCGTTCCCAACGGCTGGAATATTCCCTTTTGTCTCTGCTTGCGTTTGCGGCTTGAAAGTTGAAACCCCAGCTGCTCTACAGTTTCCCCAGAGACTCACGGAACAACACAGCAGTACTTGAGGTTGTGGCATGACTAGGCACAACGCGATTGGTCGGAAGTTGTTCTCCTCGTACTGACCAGCGAGTAGTACAGAGCAGTTGATGTTAGGGAAGGTGAAGGTGGGTGGAGCAGCAATTTGCGAGCTCATGATGGCCGGTGCCAGTATGGCACAGACTGAGGGAATCTTTGCAAGAAATATTCTCTGTCCATGTCCACTGTCCCAGGTTTCCCTCCCAATTTCCTAATATTCAGCCATTGATTTCACGAGGCCTAATTTCCTGAAGCCAGTTTAGTAAGGAACACAGGCGTCTCTATCTCAAGGCCACTATCTCAGTTAGGGGTGTTGCTTTCTTACTGATACCCTAGAACCGTAGATTGCATGCTCTAACCAGGATGAAGTTCGGAAAGCGGCTTAGAGATCAGGAAGAAGGAACGTTGCCTGGGTGGCGAGGCAAATTCCTTCGTTACAAGGAGCTGAAGAAGCGGCTGAAGACTATCTCTTCGGAATCTCCAGAACGCGAACTTGAAGGGGCGGAGCACCCGTTAGACTTGTGCGATGGTTCTTCAGGTACCCGTAGTTATCCATTTGGTTCATGGCTGTTTAGGTCTCAGACAGCTTAGCAGTTACCTGTCCTAACTGCATCGCTGCTGCGGATTCTATCGGTTCGATTTCACGTCCTCCTGCATGTCCGTGCTGCTAAGATTCTAGCCCTTGTTCCCCGGCCCCGCAGATAGTATTGTCAGGCGCGCCCTCCTCTCGGGGCCGTCTGAGGACCCCTTCGTGCAGCTGCTGCTGTCGGAGCTGGATCGTTTCAACGACTTTTTCGCGGACAAGGAGGAGGAGTTTGTCATTCGCATGCACACCATCAAGCAGCGGATAGCCAATGAGGTTAGAAACTTTATCCTAGTCTTGTGCCCGTTAGGCTTTATCGTTTAGCGACCGGGGAATCTAACCATGCTGGTCTCGTCTTTGACTGTGACTGCAGGTTCCGCAGCGGAGTGCTCCCGATGGAACGCTTCAAGGCTTTTTGCTTGACGCCGCCGATAGTGCCGGGGTCAACTGCATCCGTCGGGCCATCGTTGCGCTGCACGGGGAAATGGTACTTATCTGATCCCGTCGCTCTTTCCTTCCCCGTTTCCACGCTCTCGTTTCTCATCGTAAGCTTTTTGTTCCTCCGAAGCGTTTTTCCTCCTGCTCACTGCCTCTGTTCCCGCTCTTACCCTGTTTGTATTCTCATGTCGTCTCCTGTCAGGTGCTGCTGGAGAACTACAGCTCGCTCAACTACATGGGGCTCGTCAAGATCGTCAAGAAGCACGATAAACGCACCAGCCATCCTCTTCGCCCCTTCTTGCGCACCGTGCTGCAGCAGGTATATATCCCACCTCGGCTTTCTTCTCCCGTCTGCCGTATGCAGTTTTATGTTCGATGGCTCCCTGGAAGATTCTGCCATGCCGTTTTTCGTCCTGGAATCCCCAACAATATCCGCCCTTTTAATCCTTTTGGGTACCATCTCGTCAAATTCTATCTTCAACCTTACGTTTCCCTGCAGCCGTTCTGCACGACGGAGCTGTTGTCGCAGCTGATCAGCGAGTGCGAAGTGCTGCTTCAGCAGCTGCTGCCGCCCAGCGAGCAGTCGTGTACGCTCCGCCACCCCTGTCCCTGCTGTCACGTCTTGTCTTGTGCCCATGACACCCTGTTCCCGTTGCATGTGCCGTATTCGTGCCATTCTGCCTGTCGTTCCCCGTTTCGCACCTATCAGCTCTGACGTTGGTTCTTTTGCCCATTCCCCCTCTTTTGCAGCATGCAACCATCCCGTAATCCCGCTGCACCAAGACATCCCGTCTGCAGCCCTGCAGCCTTCCTCGCCGCCACTGCCAACAGTGGTATCTGCTGCTGAGGAATCGCCAGTGGCGCCCGCAGGAAGCCCAGAAGAGGCCGCTGCTGCAGATTTTGTTTCTGACGACACAGATTCAGTAGCCATGGTGTACCGCAGTGCGTGCAGCGCCCTGCGCGCCCTGATTGAGATCCGCAGCAGCTCGAAGACCCCTCACCCGATCATGCTGGCAGCGCAGCAGGCTGCTCTCTCGCCCGCTGTGCACTCTGCTAGCGTCTCTGAGGAGCCCCTCCTTCCCCAGGCCAGCCAATCCAACCGCGGGGATGCTCAGGGTGATGCGGAAGTGATGGGCAGTGGCGGCGAGTCTAGCTGCAGCACTGAACGGGGGAGCGCCCTTGTGACGCTGGAGAAGGCAGCTGGTGTGCACCGTGGGCTGGAGAGGGAGCTGGATGTGGGAAGCAGGGAGCAGTTCCAGACTGTTGGCCAATCCTAACATTGGCTTTAGGAGGATAATGTGGGAGATTTCAGTCACCGTACTATAGGTGTCTGCATCGCAACTGTACATATTCATCTTCAAGTGCAGTCCTGTGAGCTCTACATCCTAATTTCTAAATGGATAGCAATTGGCCTTGTTGGAAATGATTTAGAACACATCCATCCGGAGTCTTGCGTGGGTGTACGTCTCAGAATTGTTGTGATAAAATCGTACTTAGAAATTTCTGCAAGTAGTTCCGATAGATATTGTCGAGCTAGACTGTACCTAGCTACCGTAAAATGACGTCAGCAAATAGAGCTCGTCTGGATGATTACGCCAGCAGGCCGTTTCAGTCATGCGAACAGTTGCGCCCCTTTCAGTAGCGATTAGAGCGCATAGCGCAAGTAGTTTAGAACAAGTACATTACCGAACAGTTACCTCAAGCAGATATAATAGTACCTTGTATGACTTCAATTATCAACTTGTTCTTCAGTAAATTCCGATCAACACTTACGAGTTCTAAGACTTCTGCTATCTTACGAGTCTACCATTCCAGCAAAGATCCTTGCTCAAATCTTGAAGTATCACAAGACTATAACACTGATTCTGGTGTTACAACTTGCCAACACTGACTGTTACTGGAGGTACTTCCAGTATTATTTTCTACTTCAAGTACTTGTGTCTGCAGATTCTTCTTTAGTCTTTGTCGTGGCACTGGGATAACATATCAAAACATATCCTTGTATGCTGTTATAGACTATGTAGGGTTGTGCCTTAGAGAGTACTGTCAAACATGTATTATTGATCATGTTTGTATAGACTGTATAGGGTAACCTCCTAGAGGGTACAACATTTAGGTATATGTGCATGTACTCTCTAACTCTATCATCATTAAAAATATTCTAGTTTTGAGATGGTATCACGCGTAGGTTTCGACTCCCCCCCCCCCCCCCCCATCTACCGCTTCCGCTCCTCCCGTCGCGTCTCCTAGCCTAGCCTCGCCCCTCCTGAGCCCAGTCGCGACTCCCCCCCTAGCCCCGTTGCGCTCCTCTCCGGCCTCGTCGCGCCCCTTCCAGAGCGTCGTAGCGCCCCTCCATGCCCCGTCGCGCCCCCCCTTCTAGGGCTTCGTAGCGCTCCTCTCAGGCCTCGTCGCGCTCCTTCCAGGCCCCGTCGCGCTCCTCCCAGGCCCCGTCGCGCCCCTTCCAGGGCTTCGTAGCGCCCCTCCAGGCCCCGTCGCGCCCCTTCCAGGGCTTCGTAGCGCCCCTCCAGGCCCCGTCGCGCCCCTTCCAGGGCTTCGTAGCGCCCCTCCTGGGCTTGGTAGCGCCCCTCCCGGGCCCCCGTCGCGCCCCTCCCTGGGCCCCGTCGCGCCCCTCCTGGGCCCCGTCACACCTGCTCGGCCCCGTCGCCCCAGCTCGGCCCCGTCCCAGCCGCTCGGCCCCGTGGCGCCCGCCCGGCCCCTGTTGCACCCGACCGGCCCCGTCACGCCCGCCCGGACCCGTCGCCCTCGCCCGGCCCTGCTGTGTCCTGCCCGGCCCCGTCGCAGCCACCCGGCCTCGTCACTGCCGCCTGGCCCCGTCGCAGCCGCCCGGCCCCGTCGCAGCCGCCCGGCCCCGTCGCAGCCGCCCGGCCCCTCGTCGCGCCTGCCCGGCCCCGTCGCGCCTGCCCGGCCCCGTCGCGCCTGCCTGGCCCCGTCGAGCCTGCCCCGGCCCTACATACTTCCTGGTACTGTCCCTCGTTCCCCGCACCGCTTTGCACCCTCCTGCACTTCCCTGCCCCGCCCTGCACCGCACTGCACCGCACTGGACCGCACTGCACCGCACTGCACCGCACTGGACCGCACTGCCCCGCATTGCATCGCACTGCACCGCACTGGACCGCACTGCACCGCACTGCACCGCACGGCACCGCACTGCACCGCACTGCCCCCCACTGCATCGCACTGCACTGCGCAGCACTACACCGCACTCCACCGTCCTACACTGCCCCTAATGGCTGCTGAGCTTCGTTTTGATGCTGAGGGTCAGCCTCTGGAGTTCGAGGAGTGGTTGGGTGACCTTCGCCGCCACCTCACTGGTCAGCGGCAGGACGGCCACCCGCTTTCTGCCCATCTAGACGGTATGCTTACCTGCCCTGACCCCCCTGCTGTGCTGCCCGCTGATCCCACGCCCGCTGAGCGCGAGTCCACTGCCGCCGCTGCCCTTGCCCGCTCTGTCTGGCTTTCCCGTGATGCCCTTGCTCAGCTCGCCATTAGCAATGCCCTCCCCCCCCCTGAGCGCCCTCGCTTTCGAACCATTACTACCGCCCAGGCCTACCTCGATGCTGTCATCAAGCGCTATTCTACCCCTCCTGCTGCCTCAGTGGGTCGCCTGATCCTCCCCCTGCTCTTTCCTGACCTTGCGTCTTTCCCCACTGTCTCTGACCTTGCTGCCCACCTGCCCTCGATAGATGAGACCTGGCGCGCTGCCTGCACTGATGCACAGCTTAGAGTCCATCAGCCTCCCATGACCTCTACCCTCTACCTCCTTGCAACCCGCCTCCCTGACCGCCTTGCCGCCGCCCGCGACCAGTTCCTTAGCATCCACCCCGCTGCGCTCACCCTCACCGACTTTGTTGACACCCTGACTGTTATAGAGACTCGTCACCGCTACATCGCCCAGGCGAGCGGTACAGTACCGGTCCCTATCTTTCAGGGTTGTGCCCCCGCTCAGTGTACCTTCTCCGACGGCTCTGTCGCTGTGGCTGAGACTGCTGCTGCAGTGCAGTCCCGCTCGGGGAAGGGCCGCCGCCCCAAGGTTGGGAGCGGCGGCGGCGGCGGGGGTGCGGGTGGGGGTGGTGGTGGAGTCGGGTCGTCCGGTGCCGGTGCGGACGTGGGGACCCTGCCCAGTCCAGCTGCCCCGCTGCCTCCACAGTCGCAGCAGCAGCAGCAGCAGCAGTCGCCGCAGCCGCAACCTCCGCAGCAGCCGCAGCAGCCGTCGCAGACGAGGCAGGCGAGTGCTCTCCCGCCTGGGTGGCCTGGAGCTGGTGGTGGTCGTGCGCGTGGTGGTGCGCCGGGTGGTGGTTCTGGAGGCGGGCGCTGTCAGTACCAGATCCAGACCGGTCCTCGCCGCGGCTTCGTTTGCGGTAAGATCGGCCATTCCACTCCTCGCTGTTTCCGTCGTCTGGACGACCTGTTCCGTCAGCGCTTTGGCCCGGCGCCCGACCTCCCGGACTGGCACAGCTTGCTTAGGCGTAGCATTCAGATTTTTGACTTGGACATGGATGCCATTGTAGCCGCCTTGCATGTGATGTATGCACACTCTAGTGTGCTTCCCTCTTATTACCCTGTGTTGCCTAGTGTAGATGTGCCTAGCGTAGACTCCCTTGCTGCGTCAGGCGTAGGATCTCCTGCTTTGCTTAGCCTCGGTGCTTCCACCGCTTCACTGCCGCCTCGCGCGACTGCTGCGCTTTCCTTCCCCTTGGACTCTGGCGCCTCCCGGTGTTTCTTCCGCGACTCCACGACGCTGACGCCGCTGCCTGTTCCCGCTGCAGTTACTCTTGCTGACCCCTCCGGTGGTCCCGTCGTTGCCCGCAGTTCCACCTCCCTTCCCTGTCCGGTGGTTCCTTCAGGTTCGCTCACAGGTCTGCATATCCCCTCGTTCTCCAGAAACCTAGTTGGTGTCGGCTGCCTCTAGGACCTTGGCGTCACCACTACGTTCCCTGGTAACGAGCGGTATGCTGTCTGTACTGAGGCCGCCACTGGTGCCCCCCTTACCACTTTCCCCCGGGACCCGGTGTCCGGCCTGTTCACACTTGACACCGCGACTTCTCCGGCTGGGTCTTCCCCCCAGGTCGCTGCGTCCACCTAGGTTGCTGCTGCGTGCTCCTGTCGGTCCCTCACTCACCCGACTCTCCTTTGGCACCACCGCCTTGGTCACCCTGCACTCCCGCGTCTGCGTCACATGTCCCAGCACGGTCTCGTCCTTGGTCTCCCCGGTTCGTTCCCCGAGTTTCCCTCCTCCCCCGCCCCCCCGTGCACGCCTTGTGTCGAGGGCCGGCTCCGCCGTGCCCCTCACTCCTCCTCGTTTCCCCCTACCACCGCACCACTGCAGACTCTGCACATGGACGTCTGGGGCCCCGCCCCGGTCCATGGGCCGCGTCGCGAGCGCTTCTTCCTAGTGCTTGTCGACGACTTCACGCGCTACACCACTGTCTTTCCCCTGGAGCGGAAGGCCTACGTGCCTGACGTTCTCATCCCCTGGCTTGTCTCTGCTCGTGTCCACCGCGGTCTCCCTACCTTGCGCCTCCACTCCGACCGGGGTGGCGAGTTCGCCTCAGGTGTCCTTGGTCGCTTCTGTCGTGCGGAGGGCATCACCCAGACGTTTACCCTGCCGGACTCCCCGCAGCAGAATGGGGTCGCTGAGCGACGCATCGGTTTGGTCATGGAGGTGGCTCGCACCTCCATGATCCACGCCGGTGCACCCCATTTTCTGTGGCCGTTCGCCGTGCGCTACGCCGCTCACCAGCTTAACCTGTGGCCGCACCCCCAGCGGCCGCCGGTTTCGCCGACCCTTCTGTGGACCGGGTCCCCTGGTGACGCGTCTGCGTTCCACGTCAGGGGCTGCCTTGCTCACGTTCGTGCCTCTAGCATGGACAAGCTCACTGCCCGCACCCTCCCCTGCGTCTTCCTCGGTTTCCCCCTTGACGCGTCCGACTGGCACTTCTACCACCCGCCGTCTCACCGCTTCTTTCACTCTCGCGACGTCACCTTTGACGAGTCCGTCTCCTTCTACCGCCGCTTCCCCCACCGTGGTCCCCCGGTTACTCCCCCCCTGTTCCTGGTCCCTCCTTCCCCGGTGGTCCCTGCCCCTCCCCCCCCCCGCCCCCCCGTCCGGCCCCCTCTGGTGTGTCTCACGTCACCCCCCTCCCGTCGGTCGTCCCGGTCGACGAGTCTTCTGACTCTGGTAGTCCTCCGGCGCAGTCCTCGCCATCTGTCCCTCCCCCGGTGTCTCCTCCTCCACCGCCTCCGCAGCCGTCGTCACCGCAGCTGCTGCAGCCGCCGTCGCCGCCGCCGCCGCCGTCGTCGCTGCCGCTGTTTGTGGACTCTGGGGGTGCTGGCGTTGAGGTGGGTCCTAGTCCCGGGGCTCCTGTCGTGGATTGTTCCGGCGGGCCTGGGGGTGGTACC